TTCAATATTTCGAAATTTAAGGACGCTAATTTACTTAAAATGTATACACCCCGGCTTATCATGTAGCGGTAGCTTTCGGAAAGGTGGAAAACATATATTTAATACTTGCGCCGGGTATTTAATGTTCGGCTCCGCCCGAACTTAGACTTTCTTACTTGTTGTATTTATTTTTTTTTTGCCAAATATTTTTGTTTTTGAATACGAAGACAACGACAAATACCAACAAGTATACGAATACGAAAACAAACACGAAGACAAATTCGGAGCGAATACGAAAACAAACACGAAGACAAATTCGGAGCGAATACGAAAACAAACACGAAGACGAATTCGAAGCGAATACGACGACTAATACGCACACGAATAGAAAGACGAATATGGAGACAAAGGCGAGGAAGAACACGAATGCGAACATGAATGCAAGTTAGAACACGAATGTGAGTATAGGACGAGTACGAAGACCAACACGAATACTATGGCGAAGACAAATACGAATACAGATACGAATTCGAATTCGAATACGACGACGAAGTCAAATACAAAGACGCACACGAACACGAACACAAATACGAAGAGTTATATTAAGATGAATCCGAATGATTGCAAAAAGTATATGACGCTAAATACGAAGGTGAATACGCATGCGATTCGAAGACAGCGACTAGAACGAAGATGAAAAAATCTACGGGACCCTTAAAAAACTGAAAAAAGGCAGAAATTTCGCAGTAACTGGCATTCCTTGTAATAATAAAATACTAAGATAAGGTAGTTATGGTTAAGCAGTTAGAGTTTAGCACATTGGCCAATCCCTACTTTTGCGCTTGCGCTTTGGTAAAATTCGTGTTCGTCGGTATATAATAGCAAAAAAATCTATCTGTAGATAGGTTCGGAAAATTTTAGACGCATATCCGTAAACGGTAAATTTGATTAGACTTATCTGTCCTCAGTGCAACCTCAATCATTTGAGGGTTTAAAATAGCGAAGCTGTGCATGGAGCGCTCCAGAACAGTGCCTCCCTAGTATGCCCTCAATCAAGCAAGCAAAGTTTGCTAGTTGAATCCACGTAATTTTATGCCGATCTAAGAGATTTTTCCGGAATTTAATTTATTTTGCTGCATCGATTAGTGAATAGACTTTCATAACATAGGTTTTAAACATTCAACCTCCCAAACATAGCGCTCCAATTCATATTTATTTCACCAAACACCGCTTAATCTGTAAAGAAGTTCAACACCGATTTCACACTTTGGTTCTATTAAAATAAGTCAAATAGGCGAACTTCTGTGACACAGTTTTTACCTACCACACACATCAGGTAGAAATTTCCGGCGTTTCACATTGGCCTCACATATTTGTGGGAAATATGCATTTCTGCGCCATTAAATGCATTTTATGTTTTATCAGCTAATCTTGCATCTTTAATTAAATACTGGCTTCAAAATGATTTATCATTCAATTAAAATTCGAAATTTATTTTGCTATCATTTTACAAATTCATGCGTCAATAGCTATTGTGCGAGTATTAACGCACGTGTGCCAGCGTGTGTGCACAAAAACTAAATATGTCGGTGCGCTCTTGCTTGCTTCAGATATGAGCATTTTCATAGCGTCACAAACGCAAACAAAATAGTAAATAAGTCAGAGATGAAGTGAAGAATTCTTATAAGGAATGCAGGAGAATCTTTTCATACATACATACATACATACATACACATGGACACTTAAATCCTATTTTCTTGCCACAAAGCAATCGTCGACTTCATCATCTTGCTGCCGCTGTGGTTGTTGTTGCTTGTGGTTGTGCTGGACACACTGCGCAGTAAACCAACGTACGTTAGCACCGAATGGACTGCTTGCTGCCTGCCGATTGTCTGAGAAATGCAACTGCGGTAAGCATACTTGAAAGGATATATGCAACATGCCACTTGAATTATTGCACCGATGCGAATGATGATGAAGTAAATGCGTTTATGTAATTTGTGGTCTACGTACATACATACATATGTACGCACAGTACAACTAGTGTTTGCAGTTGGTATGTACATATGTGTGTGTTTATAAGTTGAGAGCTTTCATGAAAATAGGTTACATATGCATTTAGTATGGCTTCGGAGTAGGTATTCAGATATGTACATTAGGGTGGTCCTTAAAAAATCAATAGAACGATCTGTTCAGTCTCACTCCCTTAATCGGTAATACCACGGTCACAGATAACACATATACATTTTGGTCCCGATTGCCGTCGGTTAAAAAGTTTTCATGGGCTAATCTGAACTTTGACCCCTATGCGGCACGCCGTAACCGACTCCAATCGGGACCAAAATTTATATGTGATGTCTTCGACTATAGTAGTATCGATTTGGAGTATTAGATGAAAAAAAAATAATAATTTTAATTTTTTGAGTCTCCATAGAGAAATCTGAACCCCCCCTGCGACACGCCTTTACCGTCTCCAATCGGGACCATAATTTGTATGTGATATCTTCGATTATAGTAGTATCGACTCAGGGGTTGAAGCTTAGGAAGTCTGATGTACAAATTTGATTCCCGCATTTAAGGGCCACCCCAATGTACATACATATCTACATGTGGATTTGTAGATAATCCTGAAAGGAAGTTTGGTGTACCAATAAGCATATTGGGGCATTCAAGATGACATCTTGGATTGATTTATTCAATTTGTTCTGCTTGATTGCTTGTCATTGGTAGACTTAATTTGCTCGGTCTGTATATTTAGTAGAGGCTGAATGTAGGTTTCTTGAGGTTAGATCAAGACTTTTTTAAGATGGATTTTTCTATTGGAAAATTGGTAGCGCTTCGATTTCCATAACAAACATTTTTGAATTTTATTTTGGATTGCCGACTAGCGGTTTTGTCGACTGTTCTTAAGGTCTAACCTAAATAAAGGACTAAAAGGCCAGGCAAATACAGGTTGGCGTTAGAAATCATTTCTCCTCTACGAACTTACCAGATTCTTTAAGGAATTTAAGTAGTTTATCGAAGCAAAGAGAATGTAGCTCCTTCATTCTAAATACATCCGAGCCAAAAATGTACCATCTCAGACGGCCGAAGGTCAGACAACTACAAAGAAAGTGTTCTGTATTCCAAAGAAGAAGTACACATTGGGTGGTCGATAATACTTAGTGGGCTCGGCGGTTTTTCTTTCTCAATTCGAGAAGAAATTGCGCCACCACTTCCGTCTAGCCATTTCAGCAGACACTTGGTGGTTTTGCAGATATCAGTACTGTACCAATGATTCTCATGAGACTTGTTTCTGAGATTCCTGACGCTCCAAAATATCGAAGTTCGCTGATATATCAACACCACAGTGTTAGTTGGCATTAATAGCTGCTTCTGGT